GCAACAAGCAGAACCGCTGGGCCAGATTTCCCATGGTTCCTTACTAATTGCCTTATTTTTGATACACAGTCAGCTCCTTGCAACTTGTATTCCCTGTATCTTGAAAATAATTTCCTTCCACTTCTTCAAACCATCCCGGAAGACCCACATTTGCCAGAAAGAAATCAGCTGGTAAGTGGGATTTTAGGCTGGACAGTTATGGGATGTATTTACCTGCCTGCAGGTAATTGCTGTAGTCGTGCAACCACTTCTGCAGCTGACATTCATAGCACTCATTCCATCAGTGTAACCCCCCCTCAGGAGAAAACCCTGCTTAACTCTATTAATAGTGTGCACGTGTGCGCACTAAGTATCCGTAGCTGCTCAAGAGCTACAGGAATGTGGCCTGTTGGCAGAGGAGAGTTTGATCCAAGGAGGTTGGAAATGTCTGGTGACCCATGAAAAAGCCAGAAAGGCTTCTCAACCAAGTCCCAAAACCAATGTTTTACTGCATAATCTTACCAACAAGGGCAGTTGAGAGGGCTGGTAGGTGAAATAGTTAATCGAGCTATAGCTCTTCAGAAGCTGTTGATGGAGAAGGAGGCAGCAGCTCAACCCATCTATCCTCATGTGTCTCCCACTGCTATCAGATATCGCCTCCCGTAAGCTCGTGCTCAGAGCAAGGAGACGAAAATTGCTATTGACAGAAGTACCCCGCAGACACAGTCCTCTGCTGCAAAGCTGCTAGCATCTTGCATGGTGGAAACCTATTTTAAATGACAACAGAACACTAATGTTATGGAAAGATCTTGTTGTATATAGTTTTCAGGGACTATATAGCGGGGCGGGGGGAGAAAACAAAAGTACAGCTTGCCTTGACAAATATTGTCAGACATTTAAGTGCTCCATCTTCCAGTGCTGATTTGTGTAAGCATTTCCAGGGCATCAGGGAATGTTGTCATTGATAAATACTAACTATGGGAAATGGCTTTCAAAGACATGGCTGATGGTATGGCCAACAACAATGTGATCATGTAATGCATGGCCACAAACAAAGTCAATGAGCATTTGCATCCTACAGCATTAACTATCGCTCTCAGTCATCAAAAAATAAAACCCCAGTAAACAATTCTGCAATGTTACAGGCAGGATTATTAAAGGATTATTTGAGAAAGAGCAAGGAGAAGGTAGTATGTCATCCGAATTTGGGATCACTACTTTGATTTACTGTTGAAAACTCTTACGTACTTTGAGATCTCAAACCCCAAAACAAAGCTTAATCTTCACTTGGGCACTACAATTCCCTCCCTTATCACATTATCAGAGTACATCACACTCTAATTATAGTTATCTGAACAACACTTAGTGAGATTGAGAAGTGCTAACCTTGTAGGAGAAGCCCTTGAACACAGAGTAAAGCGGAGACAGAAACAATTCTTAGTTTTTAAATGCCAACTAAGTACGCTGCAACCAGTGGAAAATGAATTTTCTTACACCATCAGCAACACTTCAGAAAATTTGCTTCTTCATTATCATTAACCCAGATCCTGAAGTCCTGGCTCAAAATTCAGAACAAAGTTGTTATTATGAGGAAAAAATGCATTATAATATTTGTATTTCTAAAAGCATCATTTAAAACGTATCAGTAATCATTCAAAGAAAGGAGTAATACTTCCAGCATCTCAGTGGGATATTATATCTTACTCTCAAGAGGTATCCAGAAGTGCTTCCCAATATTTTAGTATCTGTTAGGCAGTGATTGCCGTTTATTTATCTCTCTCTAGTGGGTACAGAAGTAAAAGTTAAATATTCCATCTTCCTCTCCAAAGTGTATAAAGGACTGTATCCTCATACTCACGCAAAGGAAAAAAATCTCTCCTCCACATCACATCCTGGTGTGGAAAACAGCCCATGTGTGCCTCAACTGAGCATAGACCAATGGCCACGTTTGTCTACACATTTCTTCAAGGCATCCTCTGTGAAGCCTTTGCGAAGAGCTTCAGGGAGTTCAGGCCTTGTGCAGATGCTGTAGAATGGTTGTTACTGAATTTAATCGAGGTGTTTCCTTTTCTACCACCCCTTCTATTTCATGGCTTTTATTCTTTTGCTTTGCTTTACGTGCTAGGGCACGGACCTGGGCATTTCACCAAATCTCAGTTTTGTTTTGCTTTTATCTTTTGTGTTTAAGTACAAGTCGGTCTCTACTGTTGTGCTTTTAGAGTTCACCACTGCTTCAGTAGCCTCCACCCAGCTAGTTTTAATTTTTCCCAAATCTGACTTTCGAAGTCCATCATTATGAAAAAAAGGTATTGTTACATTTCCTAGCAAAACTTTGTTTCTGATAGTTTGTGGGTTAAAAGAGCCCTCAACACCCTGTAGATCACCAGAGTTCTTGATAGCAACTTCAAGCCTCACTGAGAGTTTAATAAGCTGCTGCTGAGTTATATGACACCCGTTAAGTTTACGGGAAAAATTTATCCAGTCTGCTGCTGCTGTTAGCTTTCAAATACCACAGACACTAGAGAGGACCCTGAACCAATATCTATGATGTGAACTACAGCAAAAATATTGGGAAGAATATTTTGGATTCCCAAGCTTTGATATAGGTCCAAATTTCACAGTCATTTGCTATTTCTATAAAAAGTTGGCCAGAATGACCAATCTCAGTACTCCTAAAAACTGGAAGTAGAAAGGGACTCTCAAGCTCATCTAGAATTTTCTGTCTGAGGTTAATTATCCTCTTTTTTCACCTCTACTAGACTTGCTAAGGTTCTTTCATGTGGACTACTGCAGATAGAAGCACCAGGAAACGAAGGTTTCCAACCATAAGAGAGGAAAAGCCCAGACACAGCTAATACCAACCCATCCTGTCCTGCTGATGCATTTCAGTCCTGCGCTGGAAGGGATGGCTTCGTGCCCTCTGCGTAAGAGAAAGTTCTGCTGAGAGACCCATTTCATTCAGAAGTTTAATAGCATAAGGCCATTTTACAGAGGCCAAAACCCTCCATCAGTCCATCAGTGCTGCAAACACAAGAGGCTTGGGGAACATTTCAGTCTTGCAGGCTTCTTTTCTCTTAGCTGGAAGTGGGACATTCATTTGGGCTGTCGCCCATGTCCATGCTCTGTGAACGGGCAAGTTCAGAAAGCAGCCTTTGGTGCACAGAGTTCTCTCCTTCATCCATCTACCTGTTTGCACAGAAGTTGTGGGAGCTCTGTTACCTGTGATACTTCTACTTATCTATCAGCTCTGGATAAATTCAACCAACTACCTTAATAGTTATTGGAGAAGTACATACAGACTGAGAGATGGCCCCACCTATACACACAAGAACAGGGTCATTGGAAAGCCTCTTTCCGTAGGAAATTAGGGTGAAAAGATTATTTAGATTTTTTTTTTCCTTAATGAATAGGAGAAGATAAAAATCATACTCTGAATTTCCTCTAAATTGACACACCATAATGAAGAGACTAGAAGAAATGACCATCCAGTCTCAGAGGTCCTGTTACGCTGGGAGAGATTTAGTTTCATTGCGTGATGTGCTGTAAAAATAAGCACTGGGATCTGTAAAATCTGAATTTTGGCTTGCCTTGCTGGAGAGCCATCAGGAGCAACAAACCAGCTGATAGCAAACAGAGGGACGCAGGGACAAACATGATTAGCAGGAGCAGTCCCAGCTGAAGTGCTCTCCTCCGCCTGGCAGACGGGACAGGTGTGTCACTTCCAGATGTGACATGAGCCACTTACTTCTTGTTCACAGCCTTTGAAGTGCTGTGCAGAGAAAGCCTGAGCCGTTACCGCAATTAGAGTAGATACATCATTTACTGGAAGAATTAAATGCACCGTAGTAGCAAACCTGCAGTTGACACTCACAGAGTGCAATTGAAATCCTCTGGATTAGTAATTCTTTTGAGATCTTTGTAATCATTGGTAATAGGTAGTGAAATAAATCCACATTTATATCCTACAGACTGCAGCTGTGTTTCTGTTAAAGTAGTATTAACTGATGATTTTTAAATCCTTCTGCCAGCTCGAGCTGTAAGCACCAAAACTCCTGTGCAGAGGATAACTCATCCTGGGTGATGTATGTTCCTGAGCACGAAAGCGCTGGTTAATGAATAATGAAAGCACTAAGGCAGAATCACACCTCAGGGCTTCGCTCCCGCAGTAAGCTCTCTGGGGAGAGGTCCCCGTGCAGCTCGCTGTGCAACAGCTACCCAACTGCAGCTACGACTGGATGTGGCTTTGGATAACCGTGATAGAAAATAATAAAAAATACTAATGTAAAGCTTTACCCGGATGGACAGAGTGCTGAACCTCATCTTGTTCAGTCAAGCGAGGGGTTCATCCGACCAACTCTGGCGTTGTTCCTTCAGGTATCAGGAGTGCACACTCGCGCCCTGACTTCCTGCACAGGCTCCCAGGTAACTAATATGCCGTTAAAAGCTGAGCCAACCTTGAGGGGGACATATGGGTTTAAACTGCAGCAGGAAGAGATTTATGGACTTGTTTTCCAAGCCTAGAGAGTAATTGAAGAGGCCTCAGACAGTTCAACATTCACCAGCACTTCGCTGCGGACGAGGCAGGAGGGCTGACGGGTGCCAGATTGGCGCTCGGCTCCGCTGTGGAGCCCCAGCCATGGAGACCGACCCAGAGTGACAGTCACTCCAGGAACAAAAAGCAGCTCTGTAAACTCGGTATACTTGTAAGATAAGCACGGTGCTGATAAAGTAAAGCACAGAGAGATTAAAAAACTCAAGAGAAAGATATTAGTGGCAGACTGAAGAAAAGAGCCCAGGAATCCTGGCTCTGCCCTCCGTCAGCTAGGCTTCAGCCCAGTCTGCCCAAAATTCGTGACCTTAGAGATGGTTTCTTGATGGCATGAAAAAAAATCAGTGACCAACCCTACAGGAGAATATTTTACTTATACAGCCTGGGAGGAAAAGGAAATGAAGCAGAGCTGGCAGAAGTGCATTTACTGGTTCTGTTCCTTATGGTTTATGTTTGCTTTGCTTTCATTTAGGAATCTACAAAGGACATTGCTTCCGAATCAACCACTTCCCTGAAGACAATGACTATGACCACGACAGCTCAGAATACCTTCTCCGTAAGTGAAAAGTAATACCTAATACACAGGATTAACAGTCAATGGCCAGAGACACTTTCCAGGGTTTCTCTTCTGCAACCCAAGTCTTATTCATTGCAAGAGGCTGGCCCAAACTGGGTGGCACAGAGCAGTGGTGACATCTGTCCTGTTCACGCTGCAGCCGACACAACCTTGACCCTTGGGGACCCCCATTTCAAGGGTTTCCTTCAGCCAGGGGAACGCTCACAATTGTGGTGCCCATTCTTTAAACATTATATGGAAAATTTTCAAATGAAAACCATTGCTGTCATTCCCAGATTGGCAAGGATATTTTACAGAGGGAGTATTTATCTGATTAGTATATCAAAACAGGTTTGAGGAGTGGTTGCCAGCCTATTAGGAAGTTTTCCTTAATGCTTAAACCCAACCCTGATGCAAGCCTCGTCCTTCGCAGCTGCTGAGCCACCTCCCCCTGCAGTGAAATGACTGCATTGTAAGGAAGCTGAAATTTCCGCAGCTAACAGCAAAATCTCAGCATGAACGTGGGCTGTGGCTTCCCCGCGTGGACAGCCAGCCATTGCTGCTCTGTGCTGGTGTGTAATCTGCCGCAGGAGTAATTTCATCCACCAGCCTGGTGCTTGAAATAAGGGCAATCGTTTCATCTCCTCCGCATGACCATCCGCTCAGCTGATAGGAAGGCTTGGAACCCGAGTGTGAAACCTCATGAATCCTGCAAGGTTTGAGTTAGATTTCCCCTTCCCCAGAGGACGCCTTGCCTAGTTGTTCCTTTTGAACCAAAGAGCTGCCCAGCCAAGCTGAAAGCAATGCCCTTTACCAGAGAAAGGAACTGCAGCTCACAAGGTGTTGGGAAAGCTTCAGGGAGCAATGAATGACGCTGCTGGCTGATACACCCAGCAAGGCAAAACACTCCTCAATTACACTGCTATTCATTACCTGAAACACCACTTAGAGAACCACTCTGCCCTTCTGCTCGCCCGTGGGAAACAATTTCTGCTTGCTAAGACAAGAAGAAAAAAATTCAAATCTCCAAAAAGTACACTTTACCAGAAAACCCAGATATTTTTTTTTTTCATCTTTACTCTTGTCAATTTAGATCAGGCGTAGTGCTTAGGTGACACGATTTCAGTGCTGAGGCGAAGGCAGACTAGCAGAGTGTGAGCACGGCTGCATTTATCTTTCATACCAAGCTTTGGAACTAATGTTAAATTGATGCCAAGTCAGCTTTAGGAAAGAAACATCATTAGTGAAAGGACTGTAAAGGAAAGAAGAATTAAGTAGCATCTGGATAAAAGTGTATTATGCCTTTGTTATTTGGAGAAAAGATAGAACCGGGAAAAACAGTCTACAGCTCCTCACTAAGGCATGAGATTGGTAAATTGTTTGTAAGTGTACTTGTGACGGCTGTTCCTAAAAGCTATTTTCCAAAGTGACTAAGTGCAGACCTTAAAAACAAGTTGGTCCAATCCTTTATGTCTTCTGCAAAATCAGGCCTCAGCTGCTCCCCCCACGGAGGAGAGTTCATCCTTGCGTAGTCTGCACAGATAACAGGACTCCTCTGCCTTAACTTTTACAAGAAAAACTTCACCTCCACTTAAAATGCATACGGTTGATTTAGAGATTACTGAAAGGTTACGTATCTAAATCCGGAAGAGATGAGCTCATACGTATATGTAATAGGGACCAAATCATTGTCTGAGTAGACACAGACAAGAGGATATTTGCATGCTGTTTCAAAGGAGACGTGAGACCTTCCATCCCGTTCTTGCCCTCTGTGCAACACCTTTGCGATCTGCTGTCTCGGTATTATTCACCGTGCTTTGTAGCCATTTCTTGGCACAAGTCTCCTGGAGGGCCACGTTGGGGGTAACCCTTATTGTTCCTGTCTTACGTAGACAAAGGCACCAACGCTGCGTGCATCTGGTGCTCCCGAAAGAGCGGCATGAGGGGCCTCAGCCTGCTCCGCGGCGACCAATCTAATATAGGCTTCAGATAAATGTAACATTATGGTGTTAGCAGAATTGAGCCCTGGTTCAAAACCTTATTGAAATCAGTGAAAAAATGACTGATTTTAGGAGTCTTTGGTCTGGGGTGTGGGTAGGAGCAGGAGTTTGGATTTTGCCCTTTGGCATTCAGGCTGCTCCCTGCAAAACCAAGCGAACAACAGCCACAGCGACCATTAACATGTGCCAAGAAACTCGAACAAGACCCCTCCTATTCAGCCTTCCCTGTGACAGCACACGCCAATCTGTGTGTCTACAAAAATCCCCTTCGCACGTCTGTGCAGAGCCCCAGCAAGTGGCAGAGGTACCGCTGCCGCGCACAGAAAGCCCGTGCAGTCCCCAGGGCTGCCTCCTGCGTCGCCCAACCGCACACGTGTGCTCCGGCTTCCCGCCTCTCCTGCATTTGTGCCAGCACACTGAAACCACGCTGCTCCGATCCAGCATTGCCCGCAGCACGTGCCCCTCTCCCGTTTTGCAGAAGAAGGGATCTCAGCCGTGCTCATCCTCACTGCGGACGTGAGGCCATCGGAGCTCTGCCACGGTGCAAAAGTGCAGCCGTGAGGATGGGGACCCCGTTTCAGGGGCATGGCTACACTTTCACGAACTTTGTCCCCACGTACTACAGCATCCGCTTTTTAAAGCCGTTTGCTTGGCTCCTGCCTTTCGGAGAAGAATAAAAGCACGAGCGGAGCACCACGGCTCGCAGCCACGTGGGGAGGAGCAGCGCGGCACGCTGCGGCGCTTCACCGAAGGAAGTGTCACAACGCATAGCGGTGCAGAGCAGCCGATGCAAACAGACAGGACGATAAACAAAGAAAAAAAAAAAAACCAGGGGAGAAAGCAAAAACCAGATTGCCTTAATGTTTTTTGATGTGCTGTCATTTTATTACCAGTATCAGGAGACATATGTAAATTCTACATGGTACCTATGAGCTTCCTTTTAAATTTCAGAACTAAAAGTACACATTGTAGGAAAAAATATACTGTAGAGTTTTACAGGAAGACAACACTGTGTGTTTTGCTTCTCTTCACATTAATTCCCTACTATAGAAAAAATATCTCTGGAGATTATTGCTACAAGTAGAACAACCCACCCCCTATAGCTGGCATGTCTGGCAAGTTCCTTCTGATGGTATCACTGAAGCATTTTAGGAAAGCTCTTTGATTTAATCAAAATCTTTATAAACAGCATGAACGTAAAATACAGAAAACAACAACCAGAAAGGGTGAGCCACAGTGGATTTTCAGCCTGGGCTGCCTTTTGCCAGGACGCTAACAGGCAGACAGTGGTTCGGGGGCACAGAGCCTGACATTGAGTATTTTTCTAATAATTGACTCTAAAAACTGACGCAAAAGTCAAAGCCCTGGTACCTCATACCAGCCACGCAGGGATACACCCAGGACAACAGACCGGGCTCTCAGCACTCACCAGGCTTTGATCAGAGACCTTACACCCTCAGTACTAGGATTTGCCAATTATTGCAAGACGCTGTCAGAATAGTAACGCGTCTGACTGAATTGGGTTTAGATCCGGTTAGAAAATGCCCCGTCTGTAAAGGACACGTACAGCGACGTTGCCAGTTTTGGTAGAAGATGGACTTTTCTCGCCATTGCAGATCGATACAGACATAAGCTTCCCAGGCGGGGACTGTGTCTTTTGTTTTATGTTTGCACCATCCTGATGAGGGCTGGGCCCGCAGCCGGGGCTCCCGGGGGCTTTGCGGCACAGACAAAAGCGATGCTGTTATTAAATGCCCAGTCCTGTCCCTCTTGCAGTCAGTGGGAGTTTTGCCACCAGTTACCAGGGGAATCGTTAGGAAACGATTCACGAAATTGGGAACGCCACGGCCATCAAAAGTAAAATGAGAAAGCATCAGCTGTAACATCTGGCCGTTTCTCCTCGGGAAACGGGCGCCGCTCGCTGTGCGTGTCAGCCGGGAAGATGGCACCCGGGAGAGACCTCATTGCTAATGGCAGTGCATCAGCAGATTGCTCCAGATGGCGGTTTTCTCCTCTCCATGCACTCGGCCCTGGGGGTGCCCATGTCCTCCCGGTGTGCTGTGGGGTTTCCACCCCTCCGTGACAGCAGCCTCTGACTCCCACCTGCCTTGGGCATCCCCCCACCCCAGCACCCGCTCACCCTGCCGGGACTCCTCGCCGCACCTTTGCCTTGCCGTGGCCTCCAGATTTGGGGCAATCCCGCTTTCCACAGCAGCATTCGGCATCTTATCTCTCCTTCTTCAAAAAAATCCTCTCTCTATAACAATATGACTTGGTCCCTCACTCTGCCCTTCTGGAAGGCCTACCAGGTTTTACCCCTTTGGTTTTTACAATACAGACTTCCTCTTCTTGTGCCTGTTTATTTTTTCTCAACCCTTTTGTTCCCTCCCTGCCGCTTCCCTCTCGATTGCTGCTTAGTCTTGTAGTGACCCGACTGTGAAAGCTGGCTTGAAGTGGTGTTCTAATTTTTTTTTTCCAGGGATTTTATAGCCATGCTGGTGAATGGACTGAAGCAGACAGAATTTTAAATGACTCTACTTAGCTGTCAGGAAACTAAACACAAACATCTGAGACACACTTGTTAAAATTTCTTCCTTAGGAATCTGAAAGGTTTCAATGTCCTTAATATTCAACAAAAGAGAAAAGGGTTATTAGCTGTGCTCACCGGTAACACGAAAGCTGCAGATTTCAAGCGCTGTAATTTGCTCACCTTGCGCACGTACCAAGGAACAGATCTGTCTGATCAAGCCATCCCCAAATGTTGTAGAGTTCGTGGTCAGCTCCTGAATTTTTCACTGCCGCCCCATGTGTGATGCCGGTTCTTACCATTGTGGTGACATCAGATTATGGCAATAACGGTGGACCTTCTAGGAGAAAGCTCGAAAGATTTAAGCTACTCAATTGAAATTGGCCATGCCACATCGGCCACCTACCCATGGCCTTGGCTCCCAAAAACATGCCCAGAAATTCAGGATCAGTGATAATTCCAGTTTTGAGACTGTAATCTCCACACTAGCACCTGAGGAGGCATCTGAAATGATTACTGTCTGTCTTGGTTTTCTACCTATCTCCCCTCCAGGCATCGTCCGTGCCTCCAGTGTGTTCCCCATCCTAAGCACAATATTGCTGTTGCTGGGAGGACTCTGTGTTGGAGCAGGAAGGATTTACAACAGCAAAAACAACATTATTCTCAGCGCTGGGATTCTCTTTGTTGCAGCAGGTATGTTCTTAAATGGAGTCCTTAAGAAGCACTGCCTTTTTAAACTGAAAAGGACTGTGGAAACACTTGTTGGCAGTTCTCTCCCTGTATCCCGGGCATTAGCAACATCACACTAGGCAAATTTCTTAAGATAAAAATATGTTTTTGAAGCTCTACAATAACTATATTCTAGAAAAGCTTTTCGTTTTCCTGAAAAAGGAAGCTAAAGCCAGTAACGTGCAGTTTTTACACTACTTGAAAGTATTAAACATTAGATGAATCAGGTGTCTCTTATATGCAGGGCTCTTTTTTTTTTCTTTTATATGATGGCAGAAAAATTTCACCTATGATAGGTGAGCCCATTTTTCACACTAGAAACATCTGAGAGAGTCACCACGTTGTTAATAGCTTTCCCTGAAGCTCGGATTAAGCATGCTGCATTTAGATGAAAATTCAGCAACGTGGAAGAGAACTTATCTTGATCAAGGTGAACAGCCATAGCCCTGAGCTCAAATTGTATTTTTCTTATTATTATGAATGTTAGAATCCCACTAACAATATTAGCGAGCTCCCATATGCTACTTCTTTCCCACCATGACAATGAAGAGATGGGGACAAACCCTGCTGAACATTTTGGGATCCATGTGAACAAATGTGACCCAGATGTGAGTCTATTCTTTGTTTTTCAATAATAAATGAAATCTTGAGATAAATGAAAGAGTAAATAGGTGAATAAAATTTCCTGGTCATAATCTTTGAAACATTCAAGTCCAGAAAGTAACGTGGCTTGAATTTTATCTTCCCAGCCACATAACCACTGATTTCTGTTTTTCTTTCTCTAGGACTAAGTAATATCATCGGGATCATTGTCTACATATCAAGCAATGCAGGTGACCCAAGTGACAAGCGAGATGAGGACAAAAAGAACCATTACAACTATGGCTGGTCTTTTTATTTTGGAGCCTTGTCTTTTATTGTGGCCGAAACCATAGGTGTTCTGGCTGTGAACATTTATATTGAGAAGAACAAAGAGCTGAGGTTTAAGACCAAGAGGGAATTCCTTAAGACTTCTTCCAGTTCTCCTTATGCCAGGATGCCAAGTTATAGGTACAGGAGGCGGAGGTCCAGATCCAGTTCTCGATCTACAGAGCCTTCTCCATCTAGAGACATTTCTCCGGTTGGCATGAAGATAGCAAGCACCATTCCCATGAACGAAATTTCCATGTACACGCTTTCCAGAGAGCCTTTGAAGGTCACAACAGCTGCCAGCTACAACGCAGACCAAGAAGCCAGTTTTCTGCAGGTTCACAACTTCCTTCAGAAGGAATTTAAGGAAGGACTTCATGTCAACATGGTCAACAGGAGAACGACTCCTGTTTGAAGTATCTTCCTTCCTCGCGCTTTTTGAAGAAATATCGAAACAGAATGGATCTGTCGTGAAAGAGAAAGAGCGATGTTAAACTACCCTCTCACCTCTTTAATTGTGGCATGTGTTGAGGTAGCAAGTGGAGATCCTCTGGACCAACATAAAGATATTACCCGCTCGTAGCTTTTTCTGAAGCTAGTCGGAGTTTGTTTCTTTCAGTTCTCGGTGTCACAAGATGAAGGCAGTTCATGTTCCGGCACTTTCGTAGTGTGTACAAAGTCTTGGAGAAACTGCAAAGGACTTGCCACTAGTGTGTTTTAAAGGATTACAGAAAAATTGTTGTAGGACCTTTTTTTTCTAAAATTGAGATCCCTTATTGCAAACTTGCAAATATAATTTATCACCAAGCCCAAGGATAAATATGAACTCCTCATCAAGTGAGCCACTCTCCTTTGACGCAGCATAAGCTTTGCCTCTTTCAAAAGAAAAAAAAAAAAGGAATAAAGAAAATATTTTTGAAGGCAACACTTTCTAAAACTGACCTGTGCTACTGAAACCATAGAGCACCCACGTACTGAGCATTATAGACTCCCTGATGGGGTGGTAAGGGGGTCTCCCATTTCTGGGTGTGAGGCATCCCTCGGGACAATGCAGGTGGGGGAGAAGAGGGGGATGTGCATCTTGAAACACCTAGAAAGGGGAGGATTAAAGTAGGTGGGACTTGAGCATACTTGCAAATGTCATTTCTTGCCTAACATTTAGAAAACTTGAATTCTCATTTCGACTAGCCCTAGTGCCTGATCCGGCAAGGTGCTGAGTGCTGTCTGTCAGGAGCCCCTATAGACTACTTACAGCGAGAGCGAGAAGCAGAGCCGAGCCGGGGTGGCCCGCGCAGGCGAAGCCGCCGGTTCCCTGCGACTGCATTCCTGTTTTCCTTACTGCTTCACAAGTGCAACACTAACGCTACTGGAAACTAAGATATCGGAGCAATGTGCATAAGAAAATGAGAAGCTAATATGTTCGGACTAGCAGAACTTCCTGCAGCAATGGGAACTGAGTGTTAACAGAACGGATGACAACTTTGTATTTTTTAAAATAGAACAAAAATAATCACCATTTATGAGATATTTATTAAACTTTTTATTATGAATAAGTGCCGCATGGTGCAAGGTATAGTTGCTTTTAGATGGAAATGATGGTTTGACCTAATTTAATTTATTTTGCAATGATGAATCCACTTATGTGCAGAGAGCCCACAGAAAGCTCTATGCATCACCTAGGGGGAACTAATTTGTACCCTTTGCTTCTGTGTTTCTAAAAAAGTCTGAAATATTGTTTTTCTTTTAAATTCCTGCTTTCATTTTTTACACTTAGGCTTGGAATCTCAAAGCTCGAGGGCCTGACTGAAAGGTAATTTAATTTAATAGTACTCATGTTGATTTTAGTGACCACTTGACCAAGCCATATGAGAACGAGGTGCCCAATTCCCCTTGGATGAATTAGGTGCAGTGAGAGAGGGGCATCTAATTCCTGTACATTCCTTTGAATATACCCGTCATCTTTGCCCAGAAAATCTTTGCTACCAGAAGACGAGAGAAATGATGACAAGAAAAAAAAAAAAAAAAAAAAAATCATGTTTTGGACAGCTTGACCAACTGATGGTGGGAGATCTCAGCCAAACTGTTAAAACCTCCTTAGTCTTAATTTATCCTGCGATGGCCGCAGTGTCAGGGACTCGGTGGTGTTTTGGATAGGAGGCTTTCAGCTAGTGGAACCAAGTCCTCCAGGGAAATCCTGGAGGAGCTGCCTTAACATCCCCAAAAGCAAGTTGAACCCCCTTTGCCCCCCCTAGTAAACCTGCTTAGGCCTCTCTCCTTGTAAGAACCAAGACACAATTCTCAATTTTAAGTGAAAGTCTTCCCTTAGTCGCTGTTAAGCTCTGCTTAGCCCTCAGCCTGGCAGAGCGACATCGGTATTTTGGTGGAGGTGGGTTGGAGCCTTCATCCCTGCTTATTAAGAGTTTCCATTCAGGTTAAAACTCTGCTGGGATCCTTTTTCAAACCTCTGAACTGTGAGAGCTAAAGTGAACGGAGCGATGGGAACAATTTAAAAGTAGAAAATGTTGTGCTACTTTCTGTATCAACACACTACGGAGAAAGATATTACACAAGCTTTTTAAAAAAATTCAAACAGAGGCAGACAAGAAAACTTTTTTTACCTACTTTTCGGCTAGGACAACATAAAAGAGTTCTAAAATTATTAAAGTTCTTGATGAAAGGTTTTTTTTACAAGAATCTTTATGCTTTCAAACAATAAATTATTTCCTACTTTTTGAGACTTCGTAATATTAAAATACTTTGATTAGCTATGATAGAAGTAGAAGTTTGCAATGAAAAAAAAAAACCTTCTGTCTCATTAGTGTGTCATACTAAGTGCTAATTAATTTACATCTAATTATAGTCGATGTATTTTTCAAGTGCAATTTCCCAGAACTATTTGTTTCCCACTGTGTTAATAAACTAATAGTTAGAAATAAGTCCTCATCCGTGTTTACTGTAATTAAGAATAAAACCATTCCCTTTAAAACCAGGAGTTAGATATAGGCTGTTTTTCTAAACTCATGTACATTGAACTGGAAGTTGACAGTGTGAGGTTTGCTTCGCGCGTTGGGTTTGTTCTTTTAATTGTCATTCTCCAGTGAACGTGTTTAAAACCAACCATCTGATTCCAGCCAAAGTCTAAGGCTTTTCTAGAGCTGGGGTTAGACCGGCAAAAGGCACGTGCAGTATTTTTACACCACGTCAGCAAAACAAAAGTCTTGCCGGGTGTTTCGGGACGTTCCTCTTTGCCAGATCCTCCTCCCCGAGAGCAGAGCTGGTTTCAGCAGCTCTCCGAGCGTGATGCCCTGCTTCGGTCCAAGCCAGAGCGTCTGCTCCTTCTCCAGCAGGCAGGCGCCTTTGAAAAATGGAGCTGGAGCGGGGAAGCATTCATGGGATGCTCCTGGGATAGGGGGTCTGGACAGGGAACAAAGGCACAGGGAGATAACAGGGACCAGAGCTTTCATCCTGTGGGAGGATGGAGGCTGCGATTTAAAATTCATGGTCTATGTCAAATTGCAGCACAGTAATTTGTTTGACAAAAGAAAAAAAAAAAGAAAAAAAAAAGTTGTTTCATTTGACAATTTCAGGAAGAAAAAAATCCT